TCTCGCACAATTCTTGTCGATCTTTCTGCTTTTGTTCTTCTTGTTGTTTTCACGATTTCCACTTTGTTGATTCAGTACATTTTTTTTCTCTCTTATTCTTGTGCAACCTTTTATTTCGAACGATGATTTTTTTTTCTGCTGTTCGTCTTCTGTTGGCTTCGTAATTTTTCCTATTTATAGCTGTGGGTGAATAATAGCGAGGTTTTTTTCCTTCTGATATTTGCCTATTTACGGAGTTCTCATTTTTTTTCGAGCCATGCAATTTTGCTGTTTAATACACACGGCACTCACGTCGCTCAATCAAAAGGTACCCGATGACGATGATGTCGAGAATAAAAGTGGAAAATCTCACTGAAATTTGAGACACATTCGCACTGCATTGAGGTATTAATATTAAGAGTACAAGAGGAAAAGGAAAAAAAAATCATCAACAACAAAATTACAGATGAACAAAGGAGCAAATTCATAATGATCAAGTTACACATCAGCTTCAAAAATTGAAGATGTACCAATTTTACGTCGCTATTTCGTTTCGCAAAATATGCTGCAGACGAACAGAACAGAAAAATTAATAATATGACAACCGAACGGAATGAAGTAAATTGGTTGAAAATCGTTGCCAGCATTCTTTTCAGCCAGCGTTGCCGACATTTCAATTAAAAATGAATAAATGTAAAAACAAAAACCGAATCGTTGCTTCGTCTCGCAAATGAGAAAAGACATGCGCCTGATTACATCAATATTCAGGCATTCAATCGGATTTTACATTTCATGGTGCATTTTTTTCTTCGTTGTATCTCTTGCGTCCTCTTGCTCTTTTGATGCATTCAATATTCAAGTCATAGCCGTCCGAGTTTTTCTGTACTTCCATCTCTTTTTTCTGAATGTTGCGCAATAAAACATAAGTCGTTCACTTTTCGAGTCGCTCGAATTTTTCATCACTTAATTTTTTTTTGTTTCTCTTTGTGTATTTGTCATTTGCCGAAGTTCCGCTCTGTGGAATATCCATAAAATACGCGCGCGCTTGAAATATGTATTGATTCAATTGCTGAAAAATATATACAGTGACACTGGATGTACCATAGCCGCTAGAGATCGCTTGAACGCTGTGTGAACAACGCAGAAAAAAAATTTATATGTAATAAAACAAGCATATCGATTGAAATGGAAACAACTATTATTGCTGCAGCTTCATTCAATGTAGATCAGTTGTTGTAGCATTGTCCCGTTCGGTCTCTCTCTCTCTCTCTCTCTCTCTCTCTCTCTCTCTCTCTTTGCTCTTAATGAAAGGCAAAACGATGGCGAGCTAGTGAGTGAGAGAGCAAAAATAAAATGTGTAAACGAAATCCATAAAATCCGACGCATAACTCACCCTTTTCACCAAAATCCATTTCTTTTCATCCATTGTGTGCATGTGCGTTGTTTTTCTTTCGTTCTCTCTATCTCATCTTGCCCAGAGTACTCATGCTGATGGCAGTGCAAGGTTAGTAGCTGGTAGCTGGAAAAAGGAAATGTTCTCTCAACAGGAGGTAATATTTCATTTGAGTAAATGGTCGTTACCATTCTTCGTCTCGCGCTCTGATGTTTTGCTGTGGCAGTCATTGCTACACACTGCCACCGTTGATCCTCTTTCCTTCCGTCTCATGCTCTCTCTCATTCACTCTCTTCCACTCGCTCGCTCTGTCCCAGTGTCCGTTCCATCTCTTCGCCCACATCCAGTTGCGAAACCGTTTTCTTTGTTTGATGCATTTCTTTAAAGAGCCAAATGCTTCTCATTTCATCTGTTCAGCTGGAGTCAGTGGCAAGCAAGTAAACCACTTTTCTTTCATCGTCTTGCATGCGATATTCATTCAGTGGATGAATAGAAATAATGATCCAATGGTGAGTGGCGAACGAAACAACGAAATGCTGAATTGTAGTTGGGTTTTCGCAGCATCCCAAACCAAAAAAGCAACAACAACGAAAACCTGCTTTCATTGAGTCGACATGCATGAAGCGACCAAGAAATGATTTGGTTCGAAGCGAAACGAGCGAGATGGAGAGAGAGAGGTAGAGAGTGAGAGAGAGAGAACGACGGAACGATTGTGTTACAATTTACAACCCGTAAATATGCGGAATGGCGAATAAGTATTATGAGCGCATCGTGTACTCAACAACACAATCTTTGTATGCCAAAAGTGATTGCAGCGGAGAAAATCCATTACACCTTGTCTTGTTGAGATGGCACATACATACACACACACACACACACACCATTGAAAAGAGAACCACACTAAATTGGTTGTCTCGCTCCCTCTTGTTCCTCCTCTCGCCTATTGTTGTTGCACAGGCAAAAATGAAAACTAGCAGAATATATCAGCGGCAGCGGGTTCAGTTCTTTTTTTTTGTTCTGTGGTGGTGAAAATAGATTATAATTTTGCCGATACATTCGGTCTAAGCCACCGTACTCGCGCAATTTTCCGTTTTGGAACTGGGCGCTAAGAATGAAATTTATCGGTGATTCTAAATCAAACAATCCGTAAAATGGGGAATCGTGTTGCATTAGGAAATCTTAACGTGGCATGATAAAAGAATAAATATGTTGTTCGTTTGCAATAAAAATGATAGTGGACAACAGCGAGCAGGCAAAAAAAAAACAAGAACAGAAAGGAAAACCACAAAAACAAGAAGGAATGGCTCGAGTCTTTGAACTGAATGTGTGCAGCAATTGCATTGCAATGCATTGAATTGCTGGGCACGGGCGCGAGACCCATTCTTGGGCAAATACAGTGCGAATGGGAAATAGTGGCGCGCTGCAAATGAATGCGCTTAAGTGTTGGTGCAAAGCGCATTCCGACGAAGTGTTACCGGGAAATCCAATGCCGTTTCCATATTTATTTATTAGTTTCACGATGTTCATGCTCTTTCCTCGATGTGTTTTCATTTCCATTTCCAAGTGAATTTAGTTGTTGTGTGTGTGTGTGTGTGTGTGCGATAGAGTGAGTGTGCCTCGAATTTTCGCATTGTTGTTTACATGCAATCAACCAAGCCAAGACCATTCATGCTCGATTCGCATGTTTTGCTCGTTTATTATTTAGATGGTCGTTTTCAACGAGTCGAATATTTATTGCATTGTGAAAATTTAGCATGAAGTGAAAAGCACCGAAACACACTGAATGCGCACAAAAACATTGAATATATATTCGAATGAACGACTGAAAGTGCTTTGTGCCAACACCACTATTCGGTGTGTGTGTGTATTTGTCTGCCGTCTTACACAAAACTGAATGGCAATTCAAGGATATAACGGAATTTCATTTGATGAACACACACAAAAAAAATAGACAGACATGTATTCAGTCACCACGAAACATCTTTGCCTCACTTCGAACCAAATAAAGCATATTAAGTACTGAAATGGAACACATATGTGAACGGAAAATGCAGACACGAATTTCGTCCGTTGATAAGATTAAAATTGCTTTTAAGACCCGAAAATCGTTGCATAGATTGAACCACTTAACCGAATAAGAAAAAACACACTGAAAAAAAATCAATTAAACAGACAAAAACGGTCGGAAGAAAATTCTCGAAGAAAATCAAAACTTCGCCAGAGAAACACTTTCAAGTTTTTCCAATGGCACAATCGATGGAAAAAAAATATCGGCGGCGATTTCTCAAAGAGATAAAAATTTATTGCTGATATTTTGCCCGGAGTAAATCGAAGCAAATGTCTTGCAAGTGTGTGTGTGTGTGTGTGTGTGTGTGTGTGTGTGTTTGCTGTGGCGGCCGGGCCTTATTTTTATGGATGTAAAGTGAGTGCTGAGTGTTTTGTACTTTGTGTCAAAGATGTATGGCTGGCAATGCCATTGAAATGGGACGGCATTTTTATTTTCTTTTCAAGAGAAAAAACAAAAAATGTTATCGCATCACTTATACATTTCGATTTTGGAATGGCATATCACTTATGCTCGACTCCTTTTCCATGCCATGAAAATACTTGAAATTCTGAAAAAGTCACTGTTATCAGGCCAAGCACTACTTAGAACAGAAAATTATCTCGCATTAAAACAAATAACTATTTACTGCCCCAAATTCATTCAACGTTCGCTTTGTTGGCTACATGTTTACGTCGGGTCTGTTGTTCTTGTCATTGTGTGTGTGTCTGTTCGGTGTATTTTTTTTCTCTTTCTCTCGTGCTAGCACCAAACCGAGTACACTTTCTCGGCGGAGCAAAGAGCGAGGGCCATTCACTTATGTTTATCGTTAACAATAAAACAACGTTGCGCCGCATTGTATCGGTATTCGATACTAATTTATAGGGCATGTCGACACGGCTTGCGATAAAAATCGAATGGGCTCTCCGTTCAAATATAAAGCAGGACATGAACATACCTCACAACAATCAACTAAACGCGATCTCAATAGCGCTAAGACTCGGAGATTTAAGATGGCTTGTGTGTGTGTGTGCTCGTATGTTAAATATAAGGAGGCCAAATGTATACACACTCACATGATATTAAATAAATATATCTGGCCAAAAAGATTAATGTCCAGCATTCACAATCAACGAGCGACCCTTTTTGCGTACTCTCGCTGCTACTGCTGCTGCTGTTGTTGTTGTTGTTGTATTTTTTTTCCTCTCTCACTCGTTCTTTTGTCAGATCGAGAGTATTTTATTGCTTCGACATAACCGCCCGTTTAAAACCGACCAAATGATAAGAAAGCAAACTCTTTTCGCCAAACAACTCTCGCCGAGAACGAATATAATCACGCTAATAAAAGTGAAATAAAACGGTAACATAGCGAGAAATGGCAAACGCACATTTTTCTTCTGTTCTCTCTCTCTCGCTCTCTCTCTCACTCAATTCCTTCTCAGCGCTTGCACCCATGCATGTGTACAATCCATTCTGCCTCTGCCATGCGTATAAATGTTTAGTCTGTACAAATAAATGCAATTAACACATTTTGTTCTCATTGTAACATTCATCTTTTATTTTCTTCTCTCTTTTAATTTGCAGATGATACGTTGGTAATGCGGCACTGGCTACCACAACCAATTACGAATACGACTACGTCGAAAGCGAAGAAGACAACGAATGGAGCTCCAATGATATAAGTTATCGCATTGTTTGAAAGCGTTGCACCTTGCTTTATTTGCTGCTGACATTGTTTTTTGTTCCCGCCGTCAATTGCCACAGGAAAACATTTTAAAATAATAAATAAGGCGCATCGTTGAATCAAGAGAAGCACATCTCAGCGAGTAAGCGAAGACAAATAGAGGCAACAAGCTGAAATAACAAGTGATCATCGCACCGAAAATCTCGAACTTAACAAAATTGAACAGTTTTATTTTTCATCAAAGCATCAATACACTTGCAGTTACGTTACGTACATACACTCACTTTTTGTGTGTGAAATTATTTCAGCCGCATCGCATCGCATTGCAAAAGACCCTTTGTTTTAGTTCAGCTATCAAATTAAATATTGGCCCTGGTTCAATAGAGCAACGCAGAGAAGAAAGAAGTGAAAAAAAGTAAACGGTAGCCAAAACACGAAAACAAACAAACATACATTGTGCGTAACGAAACGAACACGGTCGCGCTATAACGTGCACAGCCACAAAAAAGGAAGACGAGAAAAATTTGCATTCGAACGCGGGAAAGGGAAAGAGGAACGTAGACCATCCCATTGGCCAGCTCAATAGTGAAACCGTTTGTTCAAATGAGCAGTCTAAGCCAAAAACGGCGATAAAAATTAATTGGCCGTGAACGATGCAAATTATGTTAACACACCACCGCCACAGCCATTGTTATTATTATTATAGCTATTATTGTTTGAATAGAGCGATTGCAATTGCCGAGCGCCTAACGTCATAGAAATGTGCAAGCCCACACAGTTTGTTATTATGTCTTTAGTGTTGTTTATGACAGTGCTGCTCATCGGCGCTGTGTCCAATGAGTCAGTGAATAAATCAGTATCGCCATCGGTACCGACATCCGCTCAAGTGATGCCGGCCGTGGCAGTAGCAGTACCAGCCGCCCCGGTTGCGGTGCCAGCGGCACCTGTGCCACCAGTACACGGGATCATTGCCGATCATATGGATTTGCCGACGAAATTTGGCGATGAAGATGATGTGATTGAAGGAAAAGCAGCGGCCGAAAAGAAAGCATCGGAAAATGCTGGCATCGGCTCATCGGCCAGCCGAAATGATGACGACGACGAGCACTACGATGAGGATGATGATGATTTTTTGAGCGGTCACAGTGCAGACAAAAACAGTGGCGGCTCACACCATCGTGACACCGATGAATCAGAAGCTGATTACGATGATGAAAGTGATTTGGGGCCAACGTTGGATAATTTCGGCACTAAATTGGATGGCAGCGATACAGGCAACGAATTACCGATATTTTTGATGGAACCACAAAGTGCTTATGCCGTTCGAAATCGACCCGCTATTCTAAAATGCAAAGCAGCCCATGCATTACAGGTATGTCATTATCACTTTGTCTCATCACCAATACATTTCATTACAGTCGAATGGTTTGGTGCACAACAAAAACCGAAACGCCGACCCACCGACCAAACCAACCAACTAACGAACGAACGAACGAACGCATTTTGCGTTGAATGTTCGCTTTTGCCAGCTCAGTATGTGAATGAGACACATGCACTGCATATACAATCACATATTCAGGTTTTATCTGATCGCTTTTTAATCACGTTAAATGGAAATGCAAAGCGAATAAAACGCATTTCGAAGAAGGGAGAACAAGGGGGAACGACGACATGTCGTCATGTGAATGAGAGTAATCTATATGCGCATATGTATGTATACGAACGAAAAAAAAACCTAAGCCGGAATCTTGTTTTCAACATATTGATTACCATTTGCCCGAAATCAGCACACCGAATGAGAGAAATGTCACCAACGCATTTATTCTGGATTTAAGTGTATGTGCGTTTTTCTTCTCTCACACTCTCTACGGTCGTCGTCATATGCTTTTTCGTTACACACATCTATATATTCATAGTAAATTCATACAAAAAAAGAGACGAAGAAAGGAGAAAAAAAAGAAACGGAAATTTCATTCGTTGAAATTACCTCCTTTCAGATGTGTAATCTGATAATCGAAAATTGGTTTAAAGTGCAGTTGAAATTTAGTTCAACTTTTATTTCACCCTCGTCATCGTATTGCGCACTGCCATTCACCTTTTTCCCGTTCTTCTCATTTCGACACACACCGAAACTTCTTCGTTAGTTTCATATCGTATCGTTTTTTCTTCTTCTTCGAAACGATTTTTGTAACGCAATTCATGTGATATGAATTTCACCCTCTTGACGGGGTTGTTGCAACAACGGCCAGTCACATCATACATATTTTCCAAAGCGCATTATCTAATGAAATTGAAATGCGCTCGCTTCTCAGCCACATAAATTTCTTCTTTACTTCGGTTTTTGCTGAAAATTTATTTCTTTGTCTTCAATTGTTTCTTTCCACTTGGCTTGCACGGCCGTTGCTGTGTAAAAGATATCGAAAAATAAATAAATAAGCAGCTTGTTCATGAACACCATGAATATTTCAGGCGAAAAGAATAGAAGAACGAATAAAAAAGACAGCAACAATGGAATGTATATAACAAACGGAAAACATAAAAAATTTCGGTTGTCATGACGATGAGCAGTCAGGTCCGAGAGCGTAAAGCATCCGGCAACAATAGCCGGTGTCTGTATGTAACCTGTAACCGATGCCAATGGTAACCTGCTAAAAAGGAAGAACATAATAATAACAAATACACAAATAAGTTGATTGTTGAGCAGGTAGTCAAAATTAACGATAATGCGTCCAGTATGCATTGGTTCCGAATAAACCTGTATTGCATTCAATATGTACGCATGACCGTGCAAGATGACACACAGAAAATCGACTGATATGAACTTGGAAAACATGAATGATGGCTCGTTTTGATATGTTTTCTCAATGTACATCGACTCGGCCCTGGCGCCGTACTAATCTTTCGAAAGGTTCACTTTATAAAATTTGAACCGAATCATCGATAAATGCACCACGCCATCGATATGCCATCGGGCTTCACAAGTCTGTAACAGTGTTTTCGTGTTTTTTTTTCTTCGTTCTTAGTTTTTCAATTTTCGTTCCTTCCAAGAATCAGAATACATGAGTGACGATCGAATTGTGTGTTGATGACAAAATAATATTTACAATTTTCCTGTTTTTTGCTTGTCTCTTCACATTCGATGCCAAGAATCAACATGACTTTCTTACACACTCTTCATTCCGTCTCACTCTCTCTCTCTCTTTCTCTCTCTCATTCAGCTGTTCATGTGTTCCATTTTATCCCATGATTTTCTACGCAAACATATTGTTACACTTGAGATGAAATGCATTCTCGTTCAGACATGTGTGGTTCCACTTAATAATTTTCGATTGCGTATTTGTTGCGACGACGACGACGATGTTGTTTGAAGGTTTCAAATGAGTTTAGTCTCGACACTGCACCTCCCTTTCACTCGCTGTTTGTTTTTATCGATTCGTGCTCTAGTCGCCGGCGAGAGTAAGAGAGAGAAAACATGAGATGAAATGTATATTTGCTAAACATTTTCCGCTGTGGCTACTTAAAAATTGACATATATTTATTATTTTTATGTGTGTATATTTGCTCGAATAATTTGTATGCAATTATATGGTGCTGCAAAGGAATGTTTCCACTTTTCGTTTTATTTCATTGCACCGCGTGGCACTCGCACTGTGCGTTTTTTTCCTTTTCTTCTTTCACTCGCTTCGTTCGTGTCCAATTCTCTTATCTCATCGACAACAGACGAACGCGAATGCCGACAAAAAGTGTGAGAGTGGAGGAGAAGACGTTAAAAGTATATGTGTATATTTTTAAAAAAAAAAGTGCAACATTGACGCACGCAACGTAATTCTCTCTCTCACTCTCTCCCTCATTCTTTCTCTGTGTGTCCCCATGTAATGCAATTATGCGTTCCATCAAACCGAGACTGATTCCTTGAATTCTGTGCGCACCATTGTTCCGATATACCCATTTGTGGTGGTCATGTGTTGATTGTGTGTTTGTCTTACACCTGCTGCAGGCCACAGAGCCAGTGTGCTGGCTTGCATCAGAATTCCTTTAATAGCTCACATAAAATATGCCAGCAACGAGACGGAAACGAAGTGAGAAAGTTTTTTTTGGTCAAGGCGCGTAGCAGCACCATAATAATTATCGTAATCTGTTGGTATGTCATCAGTACAGTGATCGGTGTGAATCGGTTGGTGCTGTGTTGAATGTGTGTTCTTTTGTTATCGACCGAAAATCAAACACGCACACTCTCTCACACACACACACACCCATCTATGAATCAATCGCTACCAACTTTAATTTTTTTGAACACTTCCTTTTGATCTCAGCATATACTCATCGATTTTTTTTTTCTTCTGCTTTTCTCTTTTCAGCTAACATTCAAGTGTAGCGGCAGTTCACATCCTCCACCATCGACCCTCGATTCGCATGTGGATCCACACACTGGCGTTCAGCTCCAGGAAGTAACGGCGACCATATCGAAAGATTTGGTGTACGAATATTTTGGCAAGTCACCATTTAAATGTGATTGTCATGCGTGGTCACCGCGTGGAAAGGCAAAAAGCCAATCGGCGACCATTGAAGTTGCATGTAAGTAATTTTCACTCACTGTTTTCTTCTTCTGTACACCTCATTCAGCCTCTCCATGCTGTACTGTGTATTTTCATTTCCTTGATGGACCTTGACGCTTTTACTCGACTATATGGGATGGAATTCACGTTGTGGTCATGGGCTTTTGTCTTTGTGTGGCATGTACTTTGTTTGACATTAATTTGTAAAATGCTCGCTTCTCATCGTCGAACGCAATGAGCTAAACGGGCGAAAGAGTGCGACGAACAAGGGCGGCCAAAGCAGCAGCAGCACAGTACGAGATGTGTACAGTACATTGGCAAACAAGATGCCTCATGCTGTTTATAATTTTTAATAATAACAACAACAATAATAATATGTTTTACTTTATATCTTGGGCTTGTCTCGCACATTGTTTAATAAATTTTTTTTATGTGCTAACCGCTCACTCGGTTGCATACCGACAAGACCGAGCAGAGAAACAAAAAATCGACCGAAGAGGAAGAAAAGAGAGGAGAGAAAAAAAGGCTGCAGCACCATACTGATAATATTTAGGGTTTTATTTGTCACCGATGTTTTAATAGTTATTGTCTGCATAGCCCGAGTTGTTCCTACTGTTATTGCTACACATGGCGAGATGCACATACACACAGTACGAACAACGGTATGCATGTTGCTCTGGTGCATTTTAATTTATTCGCGCGACCGACTGAACGCTCCTTTCCAAATACACAATTCGAAATGCGGGTCGAATGCAGCTACATGAAATAAGAGAACACTTGAAATATTTGTTATATGTTCGCTTTTTGTCTTTTTTTTTTGTTTTTTAAATTATTACTATCATTATTTTTCCACCGAAATTGTATTGCGGTGCGCGCGTACAGAGACTCACACACACCGAAACCCAGGCAATGCCAACATTATTCAGCATTCCGTATCAAAACCAACAATTCAATATGTTCGATCGAATCCATTTAAATGATAATTTCGAGAGAAAGAATGAACCAACCGAAAAAAAGTAACAACAGAACATAACCATTTTACTGCATTTTCTGCTGGCTACCCCATGGATTTGGCGCGGGAAAAAACAATTTAATTTGAAAATCATTTATTATTGCTATTACTGTTATTATTTTATATATTTCGTTTTATTCAATTTCAGTTTGAAAGGTTCGGTTGTTGTTGTCGTTTTTCCGTGTCTTTCTCGTTGTCGCTTCGAAATGAAGTGAAGAAAATAGAATCCGTTTCACAGACAGACTACCGAGTCATTTGAGATGTGAATTTGTGCACCGTTTTCTTTTTCGATTGAAACCGTTTCAATGAGTATCGTAATGAAAATGTCATTCGTTTTTTTCGTTCATAATTTATTGTTTGTCATAAAGAATGTAGATTTGATATGCAAGTAAACAAGAGGCGGTGAGAACGAACGTTTTGCAGTGCAACGAAACCAATCACTGGATTTCTTCGTTTTTTTTTGCTCCATCATTGCTTGCTCCATCGTCTCATTTCGAGCAAGAGAGAGAGAGAGAGAGAGAGAGAGAGAGAGAGAGAGAGAGAGAGA